ACCACGCCCAGCTAATTTTTGTATTTTTAATAGAGACAGGGTTTCACCATGTTGGCCAGGATAGTCTTGATCCCTTGACCGCGTGGTCTGCCCGCCTTGGCCTCCCAAAGTGCTGGGATTACAGGTGTGAACCACCATGCCCGGCCAGATATCTATTCTTAAGTGGTCTAAAGAATCTCTGGTAAATTACAAAATATGGCTACAAATTTTCCTCATCTTAGTATTAGCCCCCTTTGTAATGCAATGTTGCTGCTTTGCCCAGGATGAGACTTACTTCCCCACCTCAGTCTTGTGTGACTAGGAGAACGCACTGTGACATTTTTAAGATGTGCAAGGTTTTAAGAGGTCTCATAAGCTTCTCTTGGAATGCTGTCTCGAGATTCCTGTGTCATAAATGATCACACAGAGCAAGGCCTAGATGTCAACTAACACCAGCTGCCAAATATGAGTGATGCCATCTTGGATCTCCCAGCCTGGGAAATCCTTCAGCTGAATCCTAGTACACAAGTAAGCCCCAGCAAGATGGGTAGAACTGCTCAACAGGCACATAGAATTGTAAAAAAACAGTAAACAGTTGTTTTAATCCACTAGGTTTTGAGGTGATTTGTTATGCAGCCATAGAGCAAAGCTTCATAACTTAGCCTTTTTTCTACTGTTATCATTCTATTATCTTATGCCCTCAGTCTCTGAAAACTGATTTTAACTGAGTCTAACCAGAGAACTATCTTAAATATCTAGGGAAGATTACAGGTTCTGAATTACTAAAAGTACACCACTACTACATGATAAACTCATGGCACAAAGGCCAGATTAATCACACAAAATATCAATACAATATTGACTGATTGATTGGAGAGAGGGTCTTGCTCTGCTGCAAAGGCCAGAGTGCAACGGTGCAATCAAAGCTCATTGTAGCCTTGACCTCTTGGGTTCAAGTGATCATCCCACCTCAGCCTCCTGAGTAGCTTGGACTACAGGCACGCACCACCATACCCAGCTAGTTCCTGTATTTTAGTAGAGACAGGGTTTCACCGTATTTCCCAAGCTGGTCTCGATCTCCTCAGCTCAAGCAATCTGCCTGTCTCAGCCTCTCAAAGTGCTAGGATTACAAGAGTGAGACACCATGCTCAGCCCCAAAGTAGTATTTCAAGAGTCTTCCAGAAATACAAACACAGTTATAATTTCATTACTTACATATACTTAGCATATCCTTTTCTTAAAAAAAAAAAAAAAAAAATCTGCTTCTGGGGAAAATTTTTTTTCCTTAGAGGGAAATCATAGTAAACAAGGAGACATGGAAGCTAAGGGTGGGTCAATGAGGGAATCACTGTGAAAGTACACACATTTTGGGCCTTAAAAAAAATCATCTCTCTTGATTTTTAGTTGACAAATATTTAAAACACAAGAATATGATATACCCAAACATTAAAAAATTAGAAAAAAGTTTAACATCCCATGAGAAAATATGACTATGATGTTAAGTCTACACTACACCACTTTAAAAGACAAAGTGTTCTCCTTGAAGTGAATTTAATCTCTAAGCATCAAGTTTCATTTGCTGAGTGGAAACCATTTTAGGGTTCTTTCTATAAAGTGTGAAACATCACACTAATGTGCAATGATCATAATGGAAAGATAACTACTTCTGAGGTTCAAAACTTGCCTTCTTTTTAAGCTGTTGACAAAAATGGGTGTAGAGCAGCAGGTGATTTTAAAACCAGGTATTCAACTTACCTCGTCTAACTGGTAGAGTCAGATAAATATATTTGAGGGCAGGAAAAACGAGCTCTGATCATGTAAGTTCACGCCAGGGTGGAAATGTTGAAAATTAAGATTAATGAAAATTAAACCCCAGCATACTGTGGCTCACAAGCAGGCCCGTAATCACAGTGCTTTGGGAGGCTGAGGCAGGAGGATTGCCTGAGCTGAGGAGTTGCAGGCTAGCCTGGGCAACATGGTGAAGCCCTGCCTCTATAAAAAATATAAAAATCAGTCAGGCATGGTGGTACACGCCCGTAGTCCCAGCTACCTAGTGGGCTGAGGTGCGACAATTGCTTGA